CTAGTGACCCCCACCACCACATGGGAGGCTCACAAACCTGTCATAAGAGGTCATTTAATGGCAATAGCCTCCAAAAACAAGAAAAAAAGAGGGGCCCAAACGATTGAATTATTACAAGACATTAGAGGTTTAGAGGACAGTCACAAAAACTATCACTTTTTCAACACCTACAAAAAACTGTTGGAGACAAGGTCAGCTCTGCAACAACTACTTAACATGCAAGTTAAGCGTAAGCTCCTTCATGTCAAACATACATACTATTCACAAGGGAGGAAAATGTGGTCGCCTACTAGCTAAAATGCTACAAACAACAAGGCTAACCTCTTTCTTTCCAAAAATTCGAACCTCCACCGGAGATATGTCACATAAACTCACTGACATTCTCACAACATTCCAGGAATACTACATAAAATTATACAATCTACCATCACAACGTCCCACTAAATCTTATATTCAAGACTTCCTATCCAATAGGATATCCCAAACAATACCGCATAACGTAATACAGACTCTAGATGAACCTATTTTAATAGAAGAAGTCCAACCTGTAGTCAAAGCTTTACCACTTGGAAAAAGCCCTTGCCAAGACGACTTTACAGCCAAATATTATGAGACATTTGTGCCAGTTCTATCAAAACCTTTCACTGAGGCCTTCAATCATGTACGACAATCACTGCCCATCGCATCCCTAGAGGCTCACATCACGTTAATCCCCAAAACAGGTAAAGACATCACAGAATGCAGTAGTTACCAACCTATTTTTTCAACAAAAGCAGACCTAAAGATTTTTGCTAAAATATATGCCAAGAGAATACACCCCTTTTGCTGCAGGGACTAGTCCACCCTGATCCGACCTGATTTGTAGGCAGAAGAGAAGCCAAGAACAACACCATGAAATAGTGAACCTCATCCACCTTGCACACTCCCAATCGGGTATTTTACTATCCATAGATGCAGAAAAGGCTTTTGACAGGGTGGACTGGCCCCTTCTGATAGAAATCCTAAGGCATCTTGGTTTAGAGCCCAACTGTCTGAACTGGGTAACGGCCCTCTACTCCTACCCAAGAGAAAGAATAAGAATTAACGGGCAACTGTCAGAGCCTGTGATCTCTTGGAATGGCACGAGACAGAGGTGTCCATTTCACCGCTTTTATTTATACTCACTCTAGAACCATTTTTACAAGGCATACGAAACAACCCCCCCCTTGCAAAAGGCATTCGAGCACAAACTAGCAGCCTTTGCAAATGACCTCTACTTTACTATCACGAACCCCATAACATCCATGCCCCCTTTACTGGAGGAACTAGCCATTTACAATAACATGTCTAACTTTAACGTTAATCTCACAAAGAGCAAAATCCTCCACATACATTTAGACCAACATACCAAAAAACTGCTACAATCCCAATATCAGTTTGCCTGGGTGACAACTGCAATTAAGTACTTAAGGGTTCCAAATACCACAAGACCTAGCCAAATTATATGACCTAAATTATTCCCCTTTCATTAGGGCTATCACAAAAGATCTGGGGACTTGGAATAATCTGCTATTTAGATGGCTTTGTTGTATAAATATATTGAAGATGAATACTGTACACATTAAAGACATCCCCAATTCTTTTTTCTCCACGATCAAAAAGCTTTTTTGTTCATTCCTGTGATCCCAACAACATCTCAGGCTATCATATACAATTCTGACAGCACACAAAAACAGATGGGGTCTTGGGCTCCCAAATGTAGAATCATACCATACTGCAATAGTCTTAATAAGAATCTATGAATGGGCCTCATTTTCGAACGATGCCCACTGGGTCCAGCTGGAATGCTTCGCATTCACTGCTCCATTACACACTATTTCCTGGCAAGATAAGGGCTTCACATATCTTAAGCCAAGTTACTCATCCCACCCCACCATACCTCCAACGCTGAACATATGGCAACGGATTTGGAGACTTCCAAGTCTATCAAAACATCCCTCCCCCCTCTGCCCTCTCACACAAAACCCGCACTTCCAACCGGGTATGTCTGGGGCCACATTCCACACATTTCACGACTCATCTTATTTTACTTTGAGTAGGCTGATTAGCAACAAGGGTGTCAGACCACTGACTGATATCATGCTCAACAGTGAACCTACCACCATGCACAGGTTCAACTACTCTCAACTCACACATTTCCTTACCACCCACCCTACCCTCCTGAGAGGAGCCAGAGACAAAACATCATTTGAAATGATGTGTAGAATCCGCAAAACAAAAACTAAACTCCTTTCCACCATGTACAAAATTCTGTAATGGAGTGCACTCAGATATTCACTAATATGTCCCATTCTTCCATCGGCAATTCCTCTCATGAAAGCAGCTATAAAAGAATATCTGTAGCTGTAGCCAGCCCAATGGCACAACGGATCACATCTGGTGGTCATGCCCCACCATTCAACAATATTGACAATTATTACAATGATTACAACAATTATGGGCACCAAAATACCTCTGGACCCCAAGGTGATAATCTATCTACTAGCATGCAGCTGGTAACCTACCACGCATGGGAGTTGCAAATCCCACCCCCACCCCTAACACGTCCTATTCCCCAGTTCAATTTCAACCAACTCACATCGTAGGTGGCAGCAGCGCACCTAAAGGGGATTTATATGCCCATACTTCCCAGAAAGACTTTACCAGGTCCCAGGCCTTAATGGAATTTATTTTGGCAGGATCCCAACCGGGCCGAAAATATAATCTGTTGAATTTTACTTATAATTATTGCACACACTCAGAAATTTTTGTGAGAAAAGGTTATATGTTACACATATTTGAACTGTTAATATCTAACCAAAGAAGGTCTACATGTATCTACTAATAGAAAAATGTTACCATCCCTGTTTACGTATGGATGTATGACCTCTATACTGTCATTGGTGTCCTTTTATTGTACTGTGAATTAAAAGCAATAATAACTTTTAACACTCAAAAAAAAAAAAGAAGAAGAAGAAGCTTGTTAATGTAGAACAGGCTGGTAATAAAATAGACACGTTTATAGGAGCCAGGAACAGAAATCTTTCAGGTAGACGATCAATTTCATTGTAAAGGCCCTGTATTGAGCTGGGTGTGGCCTTTTGTAGGAGAAGTAATCAGACCAGGAAGGTGAGGTAAAGTGAAGGAAAGTTCAGCCCTAGTGGTTAGGGAGGCCACTTGTGGTGGAAAACTGGAATTGTTGTAATGAAACAGAATAAAAGAAACATAATTGTGGTTGTCAGGATAGGATCCTTACAATTGAGCTTTATTCTCATACATAATTACTTCACTTTCAATGGAAAGATTTACCTACAAATCTGGGGAACGGTTATGGGCACATGTCGTGCCCCAACCTATGCCAACCTGTAGTTGGCATGGAGGGAACAACACTCGGTATATAATATTTCAGACCAATATTAAGACTTGGTATTGTTACATAGATGATGTAATATTTCTGTGGGAGGGTGAGGAACCCTTATTTCACACATGGGTAACCTCCCTGAACAAAAATAACATTGGATTACAACTAACATCAGTATTTGGGGACACATCCATAGAGTTTGTAGATCTAAAGGTGATAACCAACTCTGATCTCAAACTTATTATCAAACTACACAGGAAACCTACAGCCACTAACAGTTTTTTAAACTGGATTAGCTGTCATCCAGAGCCACTCAAGAGGGGCATTCCTTACGGACAATACCTAAGAGCCTTTAGGAATTGCACCAATGATGATGATTTTCTGAGGGAAGCTAACAATTTAAAATCATTTTTTCTGCAGAAGGGTAGAGGCTTTTTTTTTTTTTTTCCAATATAGTTTTTATTGGGTTTTTGTTTCATTGTTTACAAAAATTGAACAGTGGGTAATACGTAGTATCACAAGAATACAAAAAGTTGTGGATACAAGGTAACAATAGGTATAACATATAGCACGGTAACAAGTAATCAAGGAACATGTACAAGGGTTCCCGTACGGCTCCAAGTTTCATGGGGGAGTCTACACAGTTGCAGTGGTGCTTTATGTGCTCGTTCAATGAGCGTCCTATACAGCAGTTATGTGCTTATCGTAGGTTTCTAATCTGAGGATTGTCACGGGTTGGGGGTGTCTGTCCGTTCGTCACACAGCTCTTATTGTTTGTTGTCGTATAACGCTACCCAGGGGGCCCAGGTCGTGTGAAATCTTTGTGTTGTTTTTGCGTCAGGAGCGGTCATGCATTCGTACGTGTAGTATTGCTGTATTTTATCCCATAATGTGGCTTTGGTAGGACAGAGTGTGGATTTCCAGTTGCAGGCTATCCAATTACGAGCTGCCAGGATGGTGATTGCACTCAGTTGTTTGTGTGCATATTTAAATGATGGGGGGAAACGCATAAGTAGGAATAGTTCGGGGTGGTGTCCTCTGTGTGGGACATTAAGGGCACTTAGAGTGTTTTGAACTTCTACCCAGAGGGGTTGTATGTTGGGACATGACCACCATATGTGCGTATGTGTGCCTATCTCCGCCGAGCATCTCCAGCAGAGAGGAGACGTATTGGGGTAAATTTTATGGAGAGTGTAGGGAGTTAAGTGCCATCTGTACAGTAATTTCCTATGTGCTTCTATATGGGTGTAGCACTTAGTCCATTTAGATATGGCGTTCAATACATGAATCCATTCGTCATCTGTGAGTTGGATAGTGCATTCTGTTTCCCACATTGCTTTGCAATGTGGTGCTGCGTTGGGCAAGGTACTGTCCCATGTCTTATAACAGAGGGAAATACTGTTCTTCTTCATAGGGCCTTTCCAGCATCTTTCTATTACTGCCTTTGATGGAAGGGGGCTCTGTTCAGGGGATTGTTGTTGCTTGTTTACATGTGTGTTGATGATCCCTTTTAGTTGTAAGTATGTGAAAATAGCGTTTGTTGGCAATTCCCATTTCGTTTGTATGTCTGTGAAGGGTAATATTTCTTGCGATTGCATTATATGGTGAATATGTCTAATGCCTGCATGTACCCAAGTCTGTAGACGCATGTCTGGTGATATGGCTCTTAAGACGGTTAGAGGAGCGTTGGGGTGGAATTTTTCTTTGGCCCCTACTGTATCTAGGAATTTAGACCAAATGTGGACAGTCAGTGTTGTGGTGGGGTATAGATTTGGTTTGACTGGTCTATGTTTTTTCGGTGTCCATAGGTAGTCGAGCATTGCGTTTTTGTCCAATTGGGCTTTTTCCATGTCTACCCATTGGATGATACCTTGATTTAAGTGCAACAGTATGCCCAATGCCAGCATCGTGGCTTTGTAATACTGGTTTAGGTTGGGTAGCCCTACTCCTCCTTTTGTAGGATGTTTGTAGAGTAAGGTGCGGGATATGCGCGGTTTCTTGTTCCCCCATATGAATGAGCTGCAGATGTTTTGTAGGGAGTTGAGGAGTGTTTGTGGGGCTTGGATGGGAAGCATTCTAAATATGTAGAGAAGTTTGGGCAGTAACATCATCTTGTATGCGTTAATTTTTCCTAGCCAGGAGATATGCGTCTGAGACCATTTTTGTAGGTCTCTTTTGCATTGTTGGGGAAGCGTGAGGTAATTTAGTTTCAGGATTTCTTCTATTGTTGGTGCTATTTTTACGCCTAGGTATGTTAGTGATGTCTTCCTCCAGTCAAAAGGGTAGTTATCTTTCAGTATTGTTTTGGTGGCTAGTGTAAGTCCGACGGGAAGGACCTGGGTTTTATCTTGATTCAGGCGGTAATGGGATATGTCGCCGAATGTTTTCAGGGTTTCCATGAGGGGAGGCAAAGACCGCTGGGGGTCCCCTAGCGTTATCAGGATATCGTCGGCGAATAGTGCCAATTTATATTCCTGTTCTTGAATTGTGATTCCTTTTATGCAAGGGTCTGTGCGAATTTTTTGGGCCAATGGTTCTAGCGATAGGATGTATAGGAGGGGGGACAGGGGGCAGCCCTGACGTGTTCCGTTAGTGATCGTGAATTGGTTAGATAGGAAGCCACCGTGTGCTACTTTAGCTGCTGGTGATGCATAGAGTGCCATGATTCCTTTGATGAATTCAGCTGGGAATCCATATTTGGAGAGCACTTGTTGCATATATGTCCAGTTGAGTCGGTCGAAGGCCTTCTCCGCATCTAGTGCTAGGAGGAGGCCCCCGACCGACCCCCTACCCATTGAGGTTAATATGTTGAGGGTTTTCCGGGTGTTGTCCGATCCCTGTCTCCCCCCCACAAAGCCCGATGGATCGTTGTGTATCAGTTGTGCAATTATCTGGGCCAGTCTGTTGCTCAATATCTTTGCATATAGCTTGGCGTCACTGTTTAGCAGAGATATTGGCCTAAAGTTTTTGCAGATATTCGGGGGTTTCCCTGGCTTGGGAAGTGTGGAAATGTGGGCTAGCAGCATTTCTGAGGGTAGCGTTCCCGTGTCATTACAGTGTTGGTATACGTTTAAGAGGTGTGGTGTAATGTTTTGGGAGAATATTTTATAACATCTGTTCGGAAGACCATCTGGTCCTGGTGCTTTGTTAACCGGTAGGTCTGTTATGGCTTTAGCTAGTTCTTCGGCGGATATCGGTTGTTTGAGTTTGTGGATGTCGTCTTGTGTAAGTGATGGTAAAGTAATGCTTGCCAGAAAGGCGTCAATGGTAGTCACGGAGGGTATTTGCACTGTTTCGTCCTCTTTTAGATTATACAGTTTGTGGTAATAGTTGGCAAATTCGTTCTAGATCTAGAATTTTTGAACCATTGTTGTCAATAAGGGAGGCAATCCTGGATGCGACCGATTTTTGTTTGAGTTGTGCAGCCAGTTTTGCTCCGGCTTTGTTACCATAAGTAAAGTATTTGTGTTTGGATTTTTGTAGTAAGTAAGTTGTTTTGGCCAGTTCATAGTCTCTTAGTTGTGACTGGGCTTTCAGTAAGGCTGCTTGTGTAGAGGGGGTTTGAGATTGCTTATTTTTATGTGTAAGTGCTGTTATCACTTCTATTAATTGTATATATTGGGCTTGGCGTGTTTTTTTTGCTTGGCTTGCGTGTTTAATGAAGCTGCCCCTTATCACAGCCTTATGGGCTAGTCATAAGTATTCTGGCGTAGTACCCGATCTTGTGTTTTCAGTAAAATAGTTTTGTAGATCTGTGGTAATCTGTGAAATCATTACTGGGTCGTTAAGCAGAGATTCATTGAGTCTCCAGGTTGATCTGCCGGTAGACGGGAATTGCTCAGTTAGAGTTATGGTGATGGGGGCATGGTCCGACCAGGAGATAACCCCAATATCTGTGTTTATTAGTCTTGTTAGAGATGTGGCCTTAATGAGGAATCTATCGATTCTAGAATAGCTGTTGTGTGCAGCTGTATAGCAGGTATAATCTATGTCTGCCGGGTGTGATATTCTCCATGGGTCTATAAAGTTGTGTGTCGTTAGTGTGTGACATATATGGGATGTTTGTTTGCGGCGTTGTGTTAGTGTTTTGGAGGTTACCCTTTTGGAGGAGGATGAGTCCATATTTGCATCCAGGAGAAAGTTAGTGTCGCCTCCAAGAATTGCCTCCCCAAAGCTGTACCTTGACAAGAGACAAAACATATCATCTATGAATACAGGTTGACTTTCATTTGGGCTATATACATTCATCAAAGTATATGGTTGGTTGTTGAGACGGCATTGTAATATCAGATATCTGCCCTTTTTATCACTGATTTTGCGAATAAGTTCAAAGACAACTGATCTATGAATTAGGATCGAAACTCCTCTTTTTTTTTTTATGGTAACAAGTGTGGTAATCTACAGGGAACCATGGGGAGTTAAATCTGGGCGTAGATCCCCATTTAAAATGGGTTTCTTGAAAGAAGGCCACTTGTGCCCCATGTCTTTTGGCCTCTTGGAGGGCTAGTCTGCATTTGTTGGGTGTATTGAGACCCTTGACGTTAAGAGAGAAGAATTCAAGTGGCATATTGCTTGGTTTTATGGTGGTATACGGGTAGACACTTATGTACCTTCTCCAGTAATGGAGTTTTTTTTTTGTTTTTTTTTGGCGTTAGGGTTTGTTACCGAGACTATGGGAGGGGACTTTTTTTTTTTTAGGTACAGGGATAGGGTTGGGGTTAAACTATGTACACTTGCCCATTAGCCTCGAGGGCCTGATGCAACAGTGTGCAGACGGGTATTTAATGGCTCACTAGTGGGCCGTCGTTGGGGGTCAGTGGAAGTTTGGTAGGAACTAAATTGGTATTTCCAAAGTGGAATATGTAATTAGATTTGCAGTCTTAACCTTGAATTCTAAACAATATCAATTATAACAATCGAAGAATGAGCAGTGTGGATTTTCCGCCAGCAGTGGGCCTATGCGAGGTGGCCACTTGTGCGGTATCTTTTTTTTTTTTTTAAATTGCATAGTGTAAACCAGTCATGTAATCAGACAACATCATTAGTACGAGCTGTTAGCAATACAACATTTTTAAGTGCAATAAGTTACGTGTCCCGGAGCATGGTGGAGCGATGGTCACGGTTGGTAGTTTCTGCGGCCTTGTGGGGTATTGGTGATCCATGGAAGTTGTTGCCAGTCTCTCGCCATTTTCCGTGGCGGTGGTGCGTCTGACTTTTGTTTTCCATTCTGTGGAGCAGGGATGGGGATGTTCCAGTCTTCCAGAATCTGCATTCCGTCTTCAGGCGTGAGGATTGTGCGGTCTGCTCCATTTCGTTTGACGAGTAGTTTAGTAGGGAAGCCCCATTTGTATAGGATATTGGCGTTTCTGAGGGCTGTTGTAATCAGTGTAAAGGAGCGTTGTTTGGTCATCGTGGCTGCTGATAGGTCAATAAATAGTTTGATATCTGTGTATTCTTCTGGTAGAGATGGATTGAGTCTTGACGTTTGCATTATTTGGTCTTTGACCGTAAAATAGTGGAGTCTGGTTATGACGTCCCTTGGTATAGTAGTGGGTAGGTGCCGTGGCTTGGGCAGCCTATGGGTCCTGTCCAGGCGGAGGTCTGCCTCTGTCATGGATGGGATTAGAGATTTGAACAATTTTTGTACATAGTGTGTAAGGTCCTGTGGGTTGACGTTCTCAGGTATACCACGGATCCTTATGTTATTTTGTCTGTCCCTATCTTCATTAACTGCTATTTTTCCTTCCAGATATTTAACTTTGTTTTCCAGGGCTGTGTGTGCATCTGCTAGCTCATTGTGAGCAGTTAGGATACCCTCCGTTTTTTCTTCTAGATGGGCTGTTCTGTCCCCTATTGCCTGTATGTCAGCTTTAATGTCTGCAGCTATGCGCTGGAGATCTGAAAACAGGGCTGATTTTAATTTATCCAGCATGGTACTCACTGAGGCATTTGTGATAGGGATGGAGGCTTCACTGCTTTGGTAGTTCTGTGAGTCTTCTCTTTCTGCCTCGTGTGTGGGTGAGCCATGCGGTCCGACGCCATCTTGGTCTCCTGAGTGCTCCGGCTGTTGCGAGCTCAGATGTGAGTCGATCGTTTTTTGTTTTAATTTTTTTGATGATTTGGTCGCCATTATGCTCGGGGAGAGGTTGGTGGTGAGATGGGCTGAGTTTGGTGGCAATTTCGCTGCGATACACGCTGTGGGGCCCACTATCCCGGCGGAGCTCTCCTTCTATGCTTCCATGCGGTCCGTGGCCACGCCCCCCGGTAGAGGCTTTTGAAATGTGCCTTCAACCGTGGCAAAAGTGGCGACACTTCTGATCTTCAAACAACTGAGATAGGGGACAAACAAACTGTCAAATGCATCTCTGATTTGACACAGGTTGGGAACCTGTCATGGACATCATCAAAAAATATTGTCCAATTCTAAAAATCAATACCATCAGAAACAAAATAATCACTGAGAGGCCAACTATGACAGCCAAGAGAGCCTCTAAACTTAATGATAATTTGGTACACAGCCACCTATCCAAACCTGTACAACAGTCAACATGGCTTACATCCCCAAAAGGGATCTTCCGGTGCGGGCATTGTAAAGCCTGTAAATATATAATTCCGACTAAGAATCAAATCTCATGTGACACATCAAACCCACAAGCTAAGATCTTTCATCAATTGCTCCTCATCCAATGTGGTTTATCTAGCGAACTGCATCTGTGGGATTCAATACATTGGGAAGACTACACAACAATTATGTCAAAGAAGCCTACAACACAGTTACATGATTAATGCTGGCATTGACATACCAATAACCAAACATATTCACAACTTTCATAACGGTGAAAAGTCAAGTCTGTTGTTTCAAAGGTTAAAACATCCCCACTTGGGGGTTATATTAACCCTAAATTAT